CATTGCAATTAATATCTTCTTTACACGCTGATGCAACATTATCCCGATTACAAATTGATCGCGTTACGCGCATATTTCATTCTTTCCTTAATACTAAATATGTGAACGATATAAAAAAAAGAATATCTCTCATGAAATCTGCAAATTCGGATGATATAGTTGAACAATTTAAGATATTGCAAAATATCTTCAACGATATTGATAGTGAATATAAAAGGAACAAACTTTTAACTAATATTGGACATGATATTCAACCTATAAAAATATTCTTTGGAACAATGGAAATTAGAAGTAATATTAGATTAGAAATTTAAAATGTGTATGGACAATTAATGCCATTAAGAAAGGTTTTAAAAGCGTATTTTGAAACAACATGTTTCAAAAAACTGTTGAGTATATTGCAACATTAGATGAAAATAACGAAATTTCCAATATTATACAAACCGATTTTTGGAAATCGAAAATCTTAAATGTTTCAGGAGGAAATCTTTTATTTTTCCTTTGTTTCTATACGAAGATGCTTTTGAAACTATTAATCCACTTGGATCACATGCTGGTATATACAAATTATCCGGAATGTATATTTCGATACCATGTTTGCCACCAGAAATATTTTCCAAATTAAATAATATTTTTCTTGCACAATTATATCATGCAAATGATTCTAAAATGTTTTCAAAAGAATTAATTTATTCATACTTAATTCAAGAATTAATATTTTTAGAAAAAGAAGACATTACATTGGTCATAGGATCTACAGAAATTCAAGTATATTTTAAATTGGCATTAATTATTTGCGACAATTTGGGCTACATGGTATTTTAGGATTTGTAGAAAATTTTTCCACCGGTTTCTGCTGTCGATTTTATAAAGTACCAAAAAACATTTCTCGCAAATTATATAGTGAAGATATTAGTATATTAAGCAATAGATTATACTGAAAATCTAGCAACTAATGATTCAAATTTTACAGGTATTAAAGAAAAGTGTGCATTTAATGTCTTAAATAGTTTTCATGCTGTTGAAAATTACAGCGTTGACATAATGCATGATCTATTAGAAGGCGTGTGTATATATGAAATTAATAATATTTTGCATTACTATATCATGGAAAAAAATATTTCACATTAGAAACCTTGAATTGGCGTTTACAGTTTTTTAATTTTCCCATAGCAAACCGACCTCCTACAATATCAAAATCGCAATTATTAAAAAAAAAATTTTAAATGTCTGCTTCTGAAATGCTTAGTTTCATATTAAACATTGACTTCATTTTTGGTGATCTTATAACTAATTTTGATGACAAATATTGGGAACTTTACATATTGTTGCGAAAAATCCTTCTTATAACGCTTGAAGATAGTGTTACAGAATCAACAGCAGATTTATTAGAGAACTTAATTTATGAGCATCATATGCTATATATCGACTTATTCGGCGAAACTTTGAAACCGAAACATCATCTAATGTTACACTATCCACGGATTATGAAAATTGTTGGACCTCTCTCATCTCTCTAGTCAATGAGGTTTGAAGCGAAACATCGCCCTTTGAAACAATATGCACGTACAATTACCAGTAGAGTAAACTTATATTATAGTATTGCAATGAAAAAACAGTTAATATTGTATGACTTATTCACAAAAATGCAATCTGGTTCTTTATCATATATTACATATAAAAAAAAAGTACTTCATTTATTTCTAAGAAAAGAAATTTCTTATATGACAGTACAAAGTATATCATATTAAAGAATGTTTCTTTTGGAAATGAAACATTTAAAAAAAGATCAATTGTCTTGTTAAAAATTAATAACGATGACTTTCCTATATTTGCAGAAATTGCAGACATTTTCAAAAGTAACAGTTTCGTATCCAACACTTTATCTGTATCTGATTTTGTTGCTACTGTGCGATATCTATTTACAAATTATTTTGATGTTCAAGCTTATGTTATAAATATTTCAGATAAATACAATACCGTAAACTTCAGTCGTTTGGTGTACTATAAAGTATATACATTAATTCAGAAACCAAATAACAATTTTTACATAAGTTGTTGAAGAGAGAATTTTGTCTAATTTTTTTAATGTATTCGTTACTTATGCAGATTTGAAATGAGAATTGAAACGAGAGAAGAGAGAAAGAATTATAAGATTTCATTTATTTCTCTTCTAGTCTAATATGTCATGATGTTTACATATTATTAAGTATACTATTGTTAGTTAGTACTGTTAGTTTTTATAATGCCTGGATTCTAATTAGCAGAGCATATTTTTTTTATTTTCCACAATTTTATTAAACTTTTTATGTACTATAATAAGCTTAATTTGAAAATTATCTTATAAGAATTGATTTATGTATTTAATTTCATTAACACAGTTGTCCAGTATTTATTTACTAACAGTGCAAATATATACCTAAATATATATAGCAATAATATTAATATATTTTTGAAAAATTTGTCGTAAACATTTAATAACAAACATTTGTGTTAAGATAATTAAAGAGAAAAAATATAATTATAATTTTACTTTTATATAATTTAAGAGAGAAAGTAATATAATAAAAATAAAACAAAGTACTATGAAAAAATAGAACATTGTACTTTATTTTGTATTGTATTAATTTACATTGTTTCTTCAACATTGTTAAATTACCCCAGTTAATACCGAGCATTAGGTGTATTACATCTATGTTATAATTTTGCACTTAATAATGTCAATGTAATATAATAAACAACAATGTGTTATATTACATTTACATTGTTAAATACGGAATTATAACATAGATGTAATATAACTTGCTTGGAGTTGACAGGGATTCCAAATGAAATATGTACATCCAATCTTTTCAGATCCTACAATTAATCTTTTTAGAAAAGTTAACGCAACTATAACGCAACCATATATAAAAAATATTATATTTTATATTTATTATAGTAAATGCAACCATATATAAAAAATATTATATTTTACTATAATTATGAGTAATGTTTATTATTATTTTCTACATTGCGTCGTACTTTTATTTGTGTTTCAGTAACTATATTTTATACTACATTTTAACTATATTTTGTAGTATAATTCATGAAAAGAAAATTTATTATGACCATTTCATATGGTTGTGTTAATTTCTATTATAGTGATGACGACTATAAATCTGTGTTCACTCTGCTATATCTTGCATGTTTAAATTAATTATAAAAATATGTTTGAGGACAAAACTAACTATAAAATATAGTGAGATTATAGTTGTTCCAACTATTTTTTCTCTCAGTGCAGTTATACCGTCTATCTCTAGCTATGTAACTGGGGGGCTTCGCTCCCCAGACTTCCCGTATCACGGTGGAGTGGAAGCTACAGTCTTTTGTGAGAAATTCACTCTTTAGCTTAATCACAAGAGACTGTAGCCCCCACCCCCCGTGATAAGGGAGCTCTGGGGGGCGAAGCCCCTCAGTTACATAGCTAGTTACATAGAAGGAGGAGAGCATACTAGGTGGCGGCGGGACGCCGTGCGTTCGAGATCTGCATATCTTTTCGTTCCAGAGAGAGAAAAATATCGAGAGCGCGGTTCTCCTAGGCCGGGACTCGAACCCGGGTCTTTCGCTTGCCGGGCGACTGCTCTAAACTACTGAGCTACCTGACGCTCCACGCTCACGACATTCTCATCTTCCTAGATAACGCTCAGAGATGCCGTTCGGAAGCGACATCTCTGGCGCGATCCCGAGGACATCTCTGGCGCGATCCCGAGGCTAGAGATCCCATAGCTAGAGATAGATAGTATGACAAATTTTCTAACCTAACGCGCCCTCAACTTTGTCTATTAATATCTCGTAGTAGAGAGCGACGATTTTGTCAGAGGAAAAAGTTGTTTGGCATGCAAAAACACGTCGATTGAGCCTATTTTCATCGAAATCGGAGTTACCGCTAAACAAAATAATTACCATATTATGTGGGGTGAGTCCCAGATGCGCACATTGACAAACGGACACATCCAATCATATGTCGTTGTTTATAGAGTCTCTAGAATATCTCTAATCATACGGCGTTGTGGTTGGCTGTGTCCGTTTGTCAATGTGCGCATCTGGGACGCTCCCATTATGTGTGGAAACAAGCGGTCGGTTTTTAATTTTTTATTTGTGCGTAATAGAACTTGTAAGCAATCGTACTGTAGGCAATTATTTTTGTGTACAAACGTATGTTTTTCTCTTAATTTTTATTTGTGCGCAATAGAGCTTGTTGGCAAACGTACTGTAGGCAATAATATTATGTGTGCAATGTGGCTTGTGCGCAATAGTTTGGTGTGTGCAAACGTACGTCCGTTTCTTAATTTTTTATTTGTGCACAATAGAACTTGTAAGCAATCTTACTGTAGGCAATAATTTTTTTGCGCAAACGTGCATTCGTCTCTTAATTTTTATTTGTGTACAATAGAACTTGTAAGCAATCTTACTGTAGGCAATAATTTTTATGCGCAAACGTGCATTCGTCTCTTAATTTTTATTTGTGCGCAATAAAGTATGTAGGCAATCATACTGTAGGCAATAATATTATGTGTGCAATGAGATTTGTGCGCAAGTGTCATGTGTGCAAACGAGCGTTCAGCTTTTAATTTTTTATTTGTGCGTAATACAACTTGTAGGTAATTGTTTTGTAGGCAATAATTTTTGTGTGCAAATGAAATGTGGATAAGTTGAATGTCAGCAGTCGATACTGTAGGCAATTAATTTGTAGGCAAACGGGATCCTCCCTTCCATTACTACCAATAATACCAGTAATAGTTATATAAATATCTCTAACTAACTAAATAACAAATATATTGAATAAAAAAATAATTAACAATTATGAAAGAAAAAAGTTTTTCTTAAATTGTTATCTTGATGCAAAATGAAGCACATTATAGACCGAATATAATAACGTGATATAATAATTATAATATATCGTTATTAAGAAGAGTTATACATATGAACGTAATTTATTGATCATTTGACGTTAGTATGAACATGTTTAGTATTCGACGTCAAAAGCTAACGTCTGCTTAGCCCAGATAGTACAGAGAATTCAAAAAATTCAGTCATATGTCACCAATTCTGAATTCATTTTTGTGTGCAAAAAGAATTCTTTTCACTGAACTGAACTCTAAAGAATTCTTTTTGCATCTGAAAATAAACTCAGAATTGGGGACATATGACTGAATTCTTTTTGAATTTTTTTTTTTTTTTTATTCTCTGTGTTATGTAGGTACGCGTTATTTAAGTTAAAGTACGAAATCATATCTAAAATTGCATAAACGTTTGTTGAACATTTTCAATAATAACACTGTGCACTACTTAATAAGCATGCAATAACAGATAAGACACATTTTTTTCTACAAATGACTGTAAGCATTTTGTCCTTTGATAAATTCTACTAATAACTTTAACTGTGTATCGGTATACCGTAGTAGTGAAATTTCCAATGTCAAAATGAACACTCGTTTCTTCGCGCACAGCCTTCTCTATTTTATAGGTAAAAATTTATATTGTTAATTTTATGATTTTTATTTAAACTTGTGGAATGTTTAATAGCGCACTTACATCATGGTTTGCCGATAAATTCAGTGAGTAAAATCCTTGGTGGTTTTGATATGAGTATCGAATCAGTTCCTTATGTAGTAAGTAAACTCTATTATATTAAAAAAATATCTTAATAGTTTGTTTTACACTCAAGATTATCGACGAACCAACTTTATATACTTAGTTGTCGCTTATGCTGAATGGTGAATATGTATGCTGTGCTGTTATAATCAACAAGTATTGGGCGGCAACAGCAGCTCACTGCGTGAGAGCGTAAGTAAAAGAAGCAAAATAAATTTATGAATTCTGTTAACGTTTGCTAGATATAGTATACGTTGTATTATAGAGCTAAACATCCTTGTAAGGAAATTAGCCTACGCAGTGGATCTTCTTTTTTATATCAAGGTGGTATCATCCATAATGTGGTCGATGTTACTGTGCATGAAAATTATAACGACTTAACAAATGACTATGATATTGCTGTTGTAAAAATAACGCCTTCGTTCAGATATAATGATTTCACAAGGCCAGTTGTCTTGGCACAAAGTGATGCTAAAGATGTTTGTACGGCATGGGGTATGGTCTGCGGTTGGGGATATTATATGGTATAAAAGTATTATTATCTATATATATATATACATATATATATATATATATATATATATATATATATATATATATTATCTATACATATTATCTATATATTAATATATATCTAATATGATATCATTAATAAAACAATCAGGGTTGGGTAAGTTAGTTTTGAAAAGTAACGTGTTAGTATTACTCGCGAGCCATTGAAAAAAGTAACCCTTTCCCAAATAGAACACAGTCATATAAAAGTTAAAATAACGTCAAATGATATAAAAGTGATGTCACTTTGACGTCAAATGATATAAAAGTGATGTCATTTTGATGTCAAACGATACCATTTTCATGACAATTTCATGATACTGATGTCAAAATGATATCATCTTGACATCAAAATGATTTTGTGTTCTATTTGAGTTATTGTTATTGTTATTTAAGAAGCGACATATCATTATAATTTCTATTACTTTTTCATCAACTTTTAAAAACTTTTTTTTTATAGGATTTATTTCTCCATTTTATATACATGTATTTTATATGTACAAAATAACGATAAAAGTAAAACAGTAATATTTGCTACCATTACTTAAAAAGTATAATTGCGATGTTATCATTATTAGCCCAACCTTCGTATACACACTGGGTAGTTGCCACCCATGGCAATTTTTAAACAGCTGTATCTTTTAAAATATTTATGCTAAAATTCTTAAAAAATTAATGGATTAACTTTAATGTTTATAAAAAGTATTTATATACTTTTGATATTAAAATTTAAGAAATTTCATATTAAAAAAATTATTATATTTCGCGATTTAAAAAAAAGTGAGTTTTTGCAAAAAAATTTATAACTTTTGTAATTTTTATTATTTTTAAGTAAAAATTTAGCATTTTATTGTTGAAATATTTATCTTTAAGGAAGAAATTGTCTCGTAAATCATCTCCGGAAAAAGTATATTTACAATTTTATATATACATACATGTATATACATATATACATATGTATATTTACATTTGATAAATTTGATAGTTGAGCATACCAATGCAAAAATTGAAGATACATGAGAAGATACATGAAGATACATGAAGATAGCGCTAAATTTTAATTATGGGTGGTAACCACCCAGTACGTATACGAAGGGTTAAAACCCATGTCTACTACAGCTATGATATCACAATACTTGATATTGAAAAAGTGTCGTAATCAAAAGCAAAATATTTTTTTTTAGTAGAATCAATTGCCGTCATTTTTTTGCAAAATCTCGATTTTTTATAAAATTTGTTTATAAAAAATTTGTTTATTGAAAAAGAAAAAATACAGGTATTTTTGTTTTTGATTACATTTTTCCAATATCAAGTATTGTGATATCATGGCTGTGGTAACTATGAGTTTTAATGAATTAAAGAAAAAAAATAATTACCAAAATAACTTTGTTACTAAATCGTTATTAAAAAAAGAAATTTGTAATGATAACTTGATATTACAAGTAACACGTTACTTTTCAACCCTGGAAATAATTATCATTATTTGTAATTATTATTTGCGCCACAATACCTGTGCAAAAAATTAAACTTTTGTGAAATGTACAGAAATATAACGATTTCATCAATCCTATTCTTGCGGAAAAACTGCAGTGCGTCCTATTACCGTTAATACAAAAAGAGCTATGTTGCAAAGATTACAAATTCTTCTTCGAAATAACATCTCAAATGACGTGTTATGGATTTCAGGAAGGTGCATTTGACTCTTGTAAAGTATGATATACATATATAGTATTTTAATATTTAGTTTAAAAAAGAATATTTTATAATATTGTACTTAATGCTTATCATTATTTACACAGGGTGATTCCGGCTCAGCATTAATTAACAAAGACGGTGTTCTACTTGGTATAACTTCATGGGGAAATGGTTGTGGCGAACCATACTCACCCGGTGTATACATTGACGCCATACTCCTCCGAAATTGGATTCGAGATAAAACCGGAAGGTATACGTGAAGTTTATATTGCCGTAAATATACACATACGTGCATACACACAGAATATTATATATAAGAATGAAGAATATTATATATAAGAAAATTATATTAAGCACATATATATAGTATAAATATAAAGTAATGATGAACGATCTCGATTTGATTTTTAAAAAATCGATCTTTTTCTTCAATAATCTATTTATGTTTGATTTTTGTACGAATCGATTCTTTCAATAGAGAATCGATTTTCGATTCATTGATATGGGTATTAATACTGAAGAAGAGTCTTACTCCCTTCCTGTTTGATGTTCATTTGATTCTGACATATTCGATTCTCGCTTAGTGATTATCTCTGAAATCCGTCGTTCTGATGACGAAATAACGCTACTACCCTTATAGAAATATCATATTAAGAAATACAGAAAAATTATTAGTGATTAAATATTACCAATAATTCAGTAATTTTTTGACCAGTACTTAATTTCTGGTGAATACTGATAATAAAATCACTGTTAAATATTGATAGTAATCAAATACTGAGAATTATTACGCAAAGGTGAAAAATTAGAAATCATAATGTTTACAAAAATATACTTATATTCCTAATTTTCTCATGTCTCATAAACTACTAGATATCGAAGGTTGTCAACACATTCCAAACTTTCATGAATCCTCCTGCGATAATTTCGATCCCAAGCGGTATACCACTGGTCAACACCCATCCATGTCCTGACCGCATTAAACTGC